TCAAAACAGTCCCAATATAAGTCGAGACAAGGCCCAAAACACACTTAGATGGCATCTAAATGGCCTACACATAGAAGCATACACAATGGTCCAAACATGGTGCATAAGACATCAACCTTTTAAAGCATCAAAGGAGTATCAAATGCAAGCATACAAGCATACCATGTGGACTGAAATGATGCAAGGAGAGCATGCTAGAGAGGCCAACACTCAAGGCCTATAAGGGAGATTGCATGGTAGCTATACAAAGTAAGTCATGGACAACACAAATAACCAAAGTTAGATCTTAAGCACACTAAAACATGCATAAAAGCTTCACAAAGCTAAGCCAAAATCATACTAAAAACAAGGCTCAAAGCACAAAGCAGGTTAAGGCAATTTCATGGCATTACAAGACAAGTATGCAAAGGATGCATGGTGTGTCTAAACCAACTTGAAATAGAGATATAACATGGCAAAACAACCACAAATACCAGCTAAGACATGGCCATCATGAACTTAAACAAGATGCTCACACATGAGGCAAAAATGACAAATATTGAAGGCAACAAGGAGAGGGGATGACCCTCTCCTTCTTAGGACCTCAAAACATCATCCCCACCACTGAAATCCCTCTGGGATTTCAGGATGGGAAGACCAATACAAGGTGGTCCGAAGCTTACAAAAAGAGGCACAAAATGAGACACAACAAGGCCTAAGAGGGGGTAAACAACCCCAAACACCAAAGAGACCTTGAACAAAGATCAAAAGCAAGTAAAAAAAGAACTTTTCTCAGTTATACACTGAGCTTAAAAATAGATGCAAGATAGGTTAAAAGCTTGTGCAAAAATGGGAAATAAAGGGGTAAGGTTCTTACCCTTGAAGACCTTCTTCAAGAAGAAAGCTCCAGCACCTTCCTTAGGTCAAAACAGCCCAAGAACTTACAAGGAACAACCCTTTGGCACCTCAGCAACTAAGGTATGGTGTAACACTAGGTGCCTTAGTGCAAAACTAAGAATAAACACACCTTATACACACATAAATCAAAAAGAGAAGGAGATATAGAGATAGGATAGATACAAGACTCCTAACTCTAAAACCAGACCTCTGGAACTTCTTGGAACCCTTGAGGAGGGAGGAGAAGCCCTCCCTTTATAGGAATTCCAATCTTGCAAAGCTTACAAAACAAGCTAAGCAAGAGGGAAATCCCTCCATACACATGTATGGAGGGGGTGCATCGTGGATGCCAGCTATCATAACTAGCATAAAATATCTGCCAAAAGCAGATGAACAGTGGTCGGCCAGCCAAAAATGACAGATTGACCAAAACAATGGTCGGCCAACCATAAAGAGTGCCGACCGACCATAGCCAATTGCCGGTAGCAACAAAATAGGGCCGGTGGCTTCGAGCCATGGCCGGTGAGGTATGGGGATGGCCAACAAGCTATTTCCCACTCTCAGAAGCAAAAACACAAGTGTTTGGTGCAAAACCAAACACAAAACAGGCAAGTCGAGAGGTCTTGAGGCAAAGCGCGTGGCCGAGACCTCCGAGAATTCAGGACGAACACAAATATAGATAATCGTCGAGTGTTCAAACGATGACGTCCAAGTCTTGAGGACGGTTAAAAATGGGGTGTCTACAGTTGCCCCTCTTTGACAGAACTCGAAAGTCATAACAATGACGAGAGTGAGTGTCAAAGCCCAGAGACGACCCATTTTTGACAAGGCTGAAGATTTAGACAAAGCATACAAGCTACAGATAAAGGTGTGCGCCCAAAGGTGGGAGCAAGATGCAAGACAATGCACAAGGCCGAGCATAACTAATGATCATGCAAAGAAAGCTGTAACGAAGCAAATACATATAATAAATGCAACAGTTTTAAGCAAGTCGAAAACCAAACTACATTACAATGCAGAAAGGATGTAAGAGAATTATGTAATTCTCGCTACGTTTCACGCGGAGAATATAATACCTATGCGGTTTGTCTGGTCGTGCCAGCTTCAAATGAATCGTACATACAATATCCTTCCTGTCCGGTTCGTCTGGTCGTGCCAGCCTTAAATGAACCGTACATACAATATCGTGCCTGAAAAAGAAAGAGAACTTAACAGGTACAATATCGTTAGCAATATGCATAACAATGCAGTTGAAAGGTGCGTGACAACGCAAGCGAAGGAGTGCATGACAATGCGGGTGAGAGGGGTGCATAACAACACAACCCAAGTGTGTGCATAACAATGCAATCTGAAACAAGCATAACAATGCTATGAAGGCATGAACACATATAAGTAAAGTACACGTGACAACGTGTACAATGTGTGGAGGTGAGGAAGAGCATATACATGTAAGTAAAGTATGCGCGACAACGCATAAAATGTATAAAGTAAGGAATAAAATGTACACATGTAAGTAAAACACATGCGACAACATGTACAATGTGTGAAAATAAAGGAACTTGAACACATAAGTAAAGCATAACGCGACAACGTATGCAATGTGTGTAGGAACTCGAACACATATAAGTAAAGCACGACGCGACAACGCATACAATGTGTGTAGAAACTTGAACACATATAAGTAAAGCATAATGCGACAACGCATGCAATGTGTATGGAAACTTGAACACATATAAGTAAAGCATAACGCGACAACGCATGCAATGCGTATGGAAACTTGAACACATATAAGTAAAGCACGATGCGACAACGCATGCAATGTGTGTGTGGAAGGATGCAAGACAATGCAACCTAAGAATGAGAAACAACGCGGGTGGACGGGAGGATGCAAGACACTGCAATCTAAGAATGCGAAACAACGTGGGTGGAATGTGCATAACAATGCAAGATAAGATAAATGCATGACAATGCAAATGAGACATGCATGACAATGCAAGTTAAAGAAATGCATGACAATGCAAAGTGAGACACGCATGACAATGCGTGAACGAGAATGCATGACAATGCATGTAATTGAAATGTACGATAAAGATGCATGACAATGCGTGTAATTGAAGTGTATGTCAATGCATGACAATGCATACTATTGGGATGCATGACAATGCACATGAATTCAAAATGTCTGACAACGCATAACATATGAGATGCATGACAATGCAAATGAACTTGAATGCGTGACAACGCACGTCTTTTGAAATGCATGACAATGCAAATGAACTTGAATGCGCGACAACGCGCGTCTTTTGAAATGCATGACAAGGTAAACGGGCAGTGCATATCAATGCAAGTTGTGCGCGTTACAACACGTGTAGAGATGCATAACAATGCAATGGATGATGTGTGCTACAACGTATGCAAACATGCATAACAATGCAAGAGATGGTGTGTGCTACAACGCATGCGGACATGCATAACAATGCAACGTATTTGAAGTAGTTTTCGAACCTTTGCAAGATACAAAAAGGATACAAAAAGGATACACTTTGCACATATTCGAGTGCTACGCACAGAAGACACGGCACAAAGACCGGTTAAGCTTCAAAATGCAGCTCCTTGCACTGTCTTGAGCAAAGAAGGTCCCAAACCACATCAATGACCCAAACAAGGGTGTAAGAGATTCACCGGCCATCGGGGGAGGTGACTGGCCATTCACCGACCGCAAAACAAGGCCATCGGCCAAATATTTGGCCGACCGGACAAAAATGCCAATATCAGGGCAGTTTTGTCAATTCGCTACGGGTCTTTAAATATAGGGCTTCAAGCCCTTATTTCTCACTTGCCGCTTGGTCGAAAATCCCTCCCCTCCCTCTCTAGGTTATTTTCCAAGCTTCGATCCACCATTTTTCTCGATTTTGGAGCCCGTTTCGTCGTTCGATTCGCGAACACCTTCTCGTTTCGTACATTTTGAACCGAGCAAAACTTGTTTTCGGTGTCTCTTTCTCGATCTCCACCACTCGGGATTTGTTTCCCTCGAGTTTACTTTGATTCTCGCGCCTTTTCCGTACTCCGAGCTTTCCGTCCATTTTTCACCCTCTCGGGGTTAACTTTTCAGTTGACTTTTCACATTCTTGCTTGGTTTTCGCACTTCCGGCCATTTTTGCACTCTCTTCGAGATGGAAGACGACATACCACAGGGTGGGGCTCCCTCGGAGATGGACGTGGATCCCGAGGCCGAGCTCCTGCCTCTTCACATCCGGCCGTTCGATCCGACAACCTACAGGCCGGCGATACATGTGCTTCCTCCTGACAGCCTTCGCCACTTCCGGAGCCATGCACGAGGCACGCCACCGGAGCTTCTGCTGCGCGAGCCAGAGTCACATCTATCCTATGGCGCTTCTGAGGTACACTCTTCCTTGTTTCATTTTCTGCAAAGTAGAGCACATAACTGCAATAGTTGATTCTGTTCTTTAAATGTTTGGCCCGGATACACCGATACATTGCATGTTGTATTCACTGCGAGCACATCCGCACCCGATACCTGTTTGAATCTGAACACGTGCACACACGCTGTATTTTCACTGAACCACTCAAACACACTGATACATCACATGCTGCAGTTCACTGCGAGCACACCTGCACCCGATATCTGTTTGAATCTGAAAATGTGCACACGCTGTATTTTCACTGAACCACTCAAACACACTGATACATCACATGCTGTAGTTCACTGCGAGCACACCCGCACCCGATATCTGTTTGAATCTGAACACGTGTACACATGCTGTATTTTCATCAATTCTGAGTGCATTCAACACTATATTTGTAACACTGTTTCACAAATGTTTGTTTTGACCACAGGGGGGATTCCCATGCCTTCTGGGGGTATGGGAAGGTTGCCACCAGAGCCTGGTACATAGAGCTGCCCGATGCGGTTCGTCGCATCGTTGACCGAGATGGCTTTGGGACTTTTTGCATGGGACTCTCGCGCCTCACTGCGAGTAGGCCTCTCCTTGCTGCCCTGGTAGAGAGGTGGTGGGACACCACCGACTCTTTCCACCTTTTCGCCACCAGGGAGATGACGATGACTCCCTTCGACTTCTCCATGCTCACAGGCATCGGAGTGAGGGGTGATCCGATCCCCTTCGACACTGACATGGACGAGTGGGAAGCCGCTCAGATGTACCTGCTCGGCGCTCAGCCACCTCTCGCTCGGGCAGGGTTCGTGCGATATTCATGGTTCGAGGACCATTTTTGGATCCAGGCACCTACTACCCAGGAGGATGAGGAGCAGTACGCCCGGGGCTTTATCATGTTCTTGCTGGGGACCACTCTGTTTGCCGACCGGGCTAACACCATGGCCCTCTACTTGCTGAGCGCACTAGTGGATATGACACAGATCCACCGCTATGACTGGGGTGGCGCAGGCTTGGCTACTCTCTATGGCTACATGAGTTCATCCTTCCGCCTCAGCGGACAGTTGCTCGGAGGCTACTGGCGAGCTTGGGAGGTACGTATTCCCTTTTTTGCCTTTTTAGCTCTGTTTCACATTATCTGTACACTGCACACACTGCACACTCCGCACGATACACTGCACATACCGCTTTCTGCTTTATCTGCATACTGCTTGATCTGTATACTGCCTTATCTGATAAGTATGCTCATATATGTTCTGTTACACTGTACAGTTGTGGGTGTATGCCTACTTTCCAAGGCTTGCCCCAGTGCCAGACGAGGAGATTCCCCTTGGTGTGCCGTTCTCTCATCGCTTCGACGTGAGGTGCGAGCGGAGACCACGGGAGTCCCTCATTTTCTTCCGTCACCACTTCGATACCATCACCGCAGCCGAGGTATGTCAAACATTACAATTCATTTAAGCTTCGCTTTGCATTTCGTTTTTAATAGCAGTAGATAACAAACTGTATTTTGTTTGCAGATCACCTGGCAGCTATGGGCCTCATTGCCCATCGCAGTACGGGAGCGGTATGAGGGCGCTCAGGAGACCACCCAGTTCAGAATTTTGCTAGAGGGCCCGGTCTGTCGGGCCTGGTACCTGGGTGAGCGCTTCTTGCGACAGACCTTAGGCGTGCCAGAGCAGACAGTTCCGCAGTTGCCTCCTACGACCATGAGGCGGACAGAGATATTCACTCCACAGGAGATGGTCGTTTATACGATCGGTTGGGACTCGGAGGGCTTTAGAGGCGAGGGCGACTATGCAGAGTACATCAAGACCTATATCATACGGCCTCTGGGTAGTGCTCGCCGAGCTGAGAGGGAGAGGCCTGCGGCGCCAGCGGTTGGAGCAGGAGCAGGAGCACCGAGGATGGCTCGGGCCCGTGGTAGGAGTGGGCCCCGGAGAAGGCAGAGAGTTGGGTGGCTAGCACTGCCTACGATGATGACATGCAAAGGGCAGGGTGGGAAGACTTATCAGATCCCCATCGCTCCCCCTCCGGCTGATCATGAGTTAGTCGGGTTCTACGACTTGCCCCCGGTATGTACTATTGCATTTTGTATTCTGTACCGTCATTTCATTTCATTCCGTTTGATATTTCGCAGAATACTGATGCACACTTTTGCAGGCTTCCTTCGAGTATACTCGCCAGTCCCTGGAGTTGACTGCCTCCGTGATGGGGATGCTACAGCGGAGCCTCGACCTGCTGGTTATCTACAGTATCCCGGTAAGCTCCTTCAACCACAATCTCAAACTGTGCATAATCTGTTTCACACATGATCTGATGCATCGCACTATCAACACTGCACTTGATACACGACCCTCACGGCATTTGATACACTGTAACCCACAGATTGCTCATAGTATTGCTTCCGACATTCATACACTGCACTCAGTCACTGTACTCTGTATTGACACACTGCTCATAGCATTCATACATGGCATTCTGCACTGAAATACTGCTTATAGCATTCATACACGGCATTCTGCACTGATATACTACTCATAGCATTCATACACAGCATTCTGCACTGATATACTGCTCATAGCATTCATACACTATACTCATACGCTGTATTCTGTATCCATACTCTGCTTTGCTGATGCATTTACCATTCGTCCTTTTCAGCCCCCATTCCAGATTTCGGCTGCAGGGGGGACTCTAGCAGGACCATCTGTATCTGCCCGAGGAGGAGGGAGAGCAGGGCGAGGGACCACAGTACACCCCTGCACCAAGGCGGGGCGCACTCACGTTGGGAGCAGTTCACGGGCACTGATTCCGGACGACGATGAGTCCGAGATAGAGGCAGAGGCAGAGGCAGAGTCAGAGTCATCGGAGGATGAGACTGGAGATGATTCGGGCTCGAGCTCAGATGGTGGAGTCGGCGACGATACTCCTGGACCTTCGTCCAGGAAGAGGACGAGGACAGACTCTCATGCCTGAGACCATTTTGTCATTAATCTAGACTTTTTGCTGCTTTTCTTCTTTTTCCTTGTCTTGTTCAGACTTTTTTGTTGCTTTTCCCTTCTTTTTGCTTTTCTTTTTGCTGGTAGATTGAGCGCATTGTACTGCCGTAGGCAGGTTTTGTTTTCTTCAAAACTTTGTACTTGAAAGGATGATGGAATGAAACAAGCTTTTTCCCAAAAAGAGTGTTGCATCACGTATTTCATACATCGCATCGCATCATATTACATAACAATGTAATTGAATTGGAAATTGAACATGCATGTAATGCCGGGTTAGGTAGAGCAACGTAGCAACTTAACTCAATAAGCAACCATAAAGCCTTGACAACTTTACAACTCGATAAACAAAGAGCAACAACTCGATAAACAAAATTGCGACAACTCGGTAATCAAATGAGTAACAACTCAACAAGCAAATGAGTAACAACTCGATAAGCAAAATGAGTAACAACTCAACAACTCAATAAACAAATGAGCAACAACTCGATAAGCAAATGAGCAACAACTCGATAAGCAAATTGAAGTAATACAGGTGTGACTTTGCAAAATCAACGCCGGAAGGCACTAGAAATGGAACTAATCACAAGTTCTCAATATGTTCAACATATAGAGTGTTCGTTTTGAACACACCGCTCGCAACACAGTACTCTGTTTATTCGGCATATAGCTAATTTTGAACAAACAATTCGATCCGAGCAGACGAGATGCAAAGATGAGATTGGCAAAAGTTGAAACATACTCAGATGCTCCAAATGTGGAAGAACAAACGTGGAGAATGGCACTGCACTCTGAGCACAAAGCGATTCATCAAGAAATGAGTTCTCAATCGGGTATTGAGCCTACGGTTGAACACAGCGAAAAAAGACTCAACAATAGAAAACAAAAGGTATACAACTTAAAGACAAACACAGACACCTGAAACGACTCAAGACAAGAATCGAGGCAAACAAAAGACACGACACTCGGACGTGTTACAAAAGCGAGAGGCTAGTTTCTCCGGATATTGTTTCCCACCCTTTCTCATTTGTGATTCTCACATCACTCTGGCACTCAATCTCTGTTTTTTTCTGAAAAAAGCCCTTTTTCCTCACTTTTTCTCTCAACGCACATCTCTCTATTATTCAATCTCTTATTTTTTTTATCCCTCCCCTGGGTGGTTTGATGGATAAACAAAAGGTTGTGGGTTCATGCCCAACACTATTAGCTCGCGGCTATCTCCTTCGGTGTCATTTAGTCAAGGCCCCGAAAGAGGGAATGGAGTAACTTGATCCACTCGAGTTCGTGCTTCGCACTTGGCTTGATACCTCGTTGCTTGGAGGATACTGAGAGCTTTCGGCCCTTTGTTGTTAGCTTCAACTGTGTGCTTTTCTGGTAGGTAGAGTGCCCTTTCTGGCAAACGCATGGATAACGGGGAAAAGACAGGTAGCCTGACTCAACTGTGCCCCTAGTTCATTAATTTGACCATTTTTGTTTTTGTTTTCTACTAAAACAATTTTGATCAATATAAAAGTTTGATTAACATGCTCGTTCAACTTTCTGATTTAAAATCATGCAAGTCAGGCTATGAGTACTGAAAATTTTCCTTTTTGGGTCCAAGAAAATGGCCCGGTTTTGGAAAAATGAAATAATTTTCGAGAAAACTAGTCAACCTCAGTAAAAATTCTCAAAAACTATTTTTGCAAACGGTCACTGCTCAATGAGCATGGAACCTACTCTCAAAGTGCGTAACCTCGGATCCATGACAATGGAAAAATTGCCCCTTGTCCGAACGACACTGCATCACAACGGAAAGTTGCCCCTTGTTTGAATGGCGTCGCGGCGTATTGGCAACGGAAAGTTGCCCCTTGTTTGGACGGGCACCGCAGTGCGTTGTAATCAGTCCTCATAGCGATGGTCACAGCTGAACTCTCGGATACAGGAATGACAAAGATGATCAAAACCATTACATGGACACAGTCGGTTTGGAAGTATTTGTGGTTGGACTTCAGGATAAAGTTGCCTACGTATCCCAAACATGGGAATCAAGCCTTACGTAGCTCCGGTTAAGGTACACTCGGGTATTTAACCTCTCCTTTTGCGCTCTAACTTTTGCCAAGGCCGCCCTTCCGGGTTTTCAACCTTGCGAGCTATGTTTTTCTTTTCTTTTTTTCATTTCTTTTCATTTCTTCTTTTCATTTTGTTTTGTTTTCTTCTTTTTTCATTTTCATTTTTTATCTTTGCATTTTTTCTCTCTTTTTTTTTCTTGTTCTTTTCTTTGCTTTAACTTTTGCCTGGGTCGCCCTTCCGGGTTTTCGGCCCAGCGAGTCTCTCAAGGGTAAAAGTGTAGCTTTGTCCATGTCAAATGATTTTTTGAGATCTCGAAGTCATCTTAATCCATTTTCTTCCGTTCTGGGATTTGGCATTCTTGCCACTCTTTGTTGATTTGCAGAACGATCCATCTTCGGCCCTTCGAGCACTTTTGACATTTTTGCCCCTAGTTCAAGGGGCGCTTTTGATCTGGCTTCGCAAGCTTCATTTGACGACATCTGATCTTCTTGGTCTGACTTTGGTGCCTTTGTTCGAGGGTTGCTTCAAATCTGGCCACACAGGCCTCCTTTGATGGTCGACCATTGAACATTCTAAATTTAAGTCCAAGGTTTGAAAATGAGGGGTCGAGTCTCGAGTCTGAGAGCGGTCCTAGGCTGCACAATCTCAAGAGCAATTCCACACAAGTCTTCGCAGGACCACACAAAACATTTTTTTTGAAAACTTTTAAGAAAGCGACGAATTGCTCACGCTGAAGACAGTGTAGAACCAATCTGGATCAGCTAGGATCCTTCTCAGTACTCACATTAACAAGCATGATCTCATTCATTAAGGGCTTAGCACGCCTCTCTTTCTCTCAATTGATCAAATTTTACAAATCCAAAGGAATTCCTTCCTCTTCGTTTTCATCACAAAGTTTGAATAGGTTTTGAAAAACTCCGGTCAATACAATGAGTTCAAAGCACAGAAAAGCAAGTGAAAAGCACTGCCGCTTCGTTCTGAACATTGTTGGCACAACAGGCTCAAAGTAGCAACAAGCACAAAAGCATGACAGCCACAGCTGTTTCAAACAGATTTCTTGGTTGCAACTGGCTCCACAGTAGAGACAGACTCAAAAGAAAGGAAAAGACAAGCACAAAAACGACAATGGTGTCCGAGGTAACAACTCCGGGATCACCCGACTCTTATACAACAGGACTGACTTTATACAACAGGACTGACCTTCAAGCAAAAAGACTGACTCAAAACAAAGAGACAAACTCAAAACAAAACCACAGAACTGACTCAATACCCAAGTCAGAGTGTACAACAGTCATCATTTGCAAAACACTCAAAACAGTGCGTGCCAAACGCCATATCTAAAATAAGCCGAGCGTCGCCCGCAGGTGGTCCAACCCCTGATTACATACTTGTACTATCTTCGAAGTCTACAAACTTAGTGGTGACAGACTTGGCTAAGCTTGGTGGGAGGATGACCTCATTATCGATCAAGTCTTGCACTTCATGGCGAAGACGAAAGCAATTGTTAGTGGTGTGACCAGCCTGTTGATGGTACGTACAGTACTAGGTAGCGTCATGACCAGGTGGAAGATGAGCAGGGAGAGGTCGATGCTCAAGAGGTTTGAGATGACCTTTTTTCGTGAGGATTCGAAGAGCCTTGGACAAAGGCATATAAAGGGCATGAAAGCCCCATGCACCCTTGGGGCAGGTACTTCGAAGTCTATGGATTTTTGCTGGGCACACTAGCGAAAGGATCAGCGGGTGTTGCCTTGGCTCTCTGATCTTTCCCAGGTGTAGGGTTAGGATTGACAGGAACAGTTCCGGTGTGACAGTCCTTATCCCGATTTTCCCTCTGGCTTGAACTACTCTCGGTTTGAGTGGGGAAGGTGTCATCCACAGTCTTACGCATAACTGCGAGTACTTGTTGCTTATTCAACCCCCCGGCTTTCAAAGCCTCAACAGTTTGCTGGAGTTATGCATAGGGATCTGCATCTGCCCTCATCTTGTTCTTCCCACTAGCCTCAACTTGGTGGGAGGTTTGGGTTGTTGCTTCAGTGCGAAGCCCCGTTGTCGTTGATACGTCATTGCCGGAGTTCGAGGCAGCTTCAGGCTGGCTGAGCTCAATTACAATTAACCCCAGTAGCGGGGGCTCCTGCGGCATGAAATTCCCAACATACGATGCAGTTGGTGGCAGGGCTGACATTCCATAGACTAGATCAGCCATGGATCTCTGGAGGTCGCCAATCATTCCCATTAACTCAAACGTGGTGGGTTCACGAGCTTGAAACAACTGGGGTTCCCAGATTGGGCGCGCAGCAGGCGACCTGGGCGGGTGTGATATCTCAACATTGGTCTCCCCCTGTAAGATGACCCTTTGGTTTAGTGCGGCTGCCATAACCACGACTTCTTCTGAATTCTGTGACATCATAAATCCGCTGAACTGAACGGAGGTGATGTGACTGGTGACTTGATTGATCAAATATCTGCCTTGCTTCGGCGAAGGAGAACATTGGCTATTCTGAACTCAGATCTCTGAAACTCCCCCCTCCTCCTAAAAGAGAAAACAGGCAGCGTCTCAGCCCAATTTTACCCAAACAATCGTAAGCACAACTGAACAACTGTATTTGATCACTGACCACTGTTCCCCAAAACTACTGCCCCAAAACTGAATCTGATACCCGCAGATACTACTGATTCTCAAAACACTGACACTGATGCCTGCAGGCCTGATGCCCAAACTTGCAAATAGGTATGTGCGTTCCCTGTAGAGGTCAACTCTAAAAGCACATATAACAAGCAAATGAAAGCCAATACACCCCTATATTAGGGTAGGGTTTTCCTGTCCTAGTTTCGTCAAGAACTAGGATTTCACTACGCATACAGCAGTTTCAAACAACCTACAATCGAGTAAGCAACTTGTCCTAGTTTGGGATGGTCACTATGGATTCCGATATGCACTAGGTCGAATGGTCGAAAAGGGTGCCCCAGTAAAAATCGGGGTTTGTGTTCCCATCGTGGCAGAGCCCGTAACCGGTCAGCTTATGGCACACTTCTCAAATCGAGCATACGGCAAACCGTTCAGGAATAGCAGACGGCAAACACGGTGTCCTAGGCACACCGATGCAAATGCACCGCAAAGAAACACATAA